GAAGGATTAACAAAGTTATTTTTAAATTATGAGAATTTGGATATATGTAAAGTTGAAGAAATTTAGTTGATATAAACTTCGAAAGTAATAAATATAGAAAATGTTATTAAAATAATATTCTTTAAATTGAATGATTTTTAAAAATATAAAGTGAAAATAATAGTATTACTGAAAATTAATTTTATTATTATTAAAATGATTTTTATTATAAAAAAAACCAAAAATTTTTAACAATTGTTTAATGTTTTAAGAACCATTTGATACCATTCATCACACTCTCTTAAAAATTTAAATGTAAGAATTATTTCACAAGCTTTTCCTGTTTGGTCTTTTGTTGTAATTGTAATTTTATTATCATTAGGAATTAACATTGTGGATTTATCAATAGTATATTTCCATTTAACACTTAATGTTTTCTTTTTCTTTTTAATACCAACCATTTGTATAATACCATTATCTTGTCCGACAACAATAACTTTTAAAGTTTCTGGTTTTTTTCCTACTTTTACACATAATTGAATATCAGATAATACAACTCCAATAATATCAAATCCTTCTACTTCTTTTTGTAATTTCTTTATTTTAGCTAATCCTTGTTGTATTTGTCTTTTTTCATCAAAAAATGAAATTAAATAAACAATATCACTATATGCCTTAACTATATTATCATGTTCAACACAACAATCTGGTGTATTATGAATAAATGCATCAATAATAGGAACAAATCTTCTAAATCTATCCATTGGAAGAAGGATTAATTTTTCAACAATTAATCCTTCTTTATCAAATTCTTTTAATTTTTTTGATATTTCTGGTTGTTCTCTTAATGTTCTAACTTTATCCATTTCAACATTAATCCAATACTTTTCATACTCTTTCATAAACTCACTATTATTTAACATTTTACTAATAACATCACAAACATCAACATCATAATTCTGATTATTATCAACAAGTTCTTTTAAATCAACTTCTAATTGTTGATGAAATTTGGCTAATTGTTCAAATGATAGAAAAATACTTGCAACTTCTTTATTAATTTTAATTAATTGAGGGATAACCACTGTAACAATTTTATTCATTGATTTATTAAAAGACACTTGACTTTCATATAATTCATTTAAACAAACTCCTCTATTTTTTGATTGTGCATTTAATTGAGACACAAAAGTTAGTTGTTCTTTATTTCCTTCTGCTGAAATTAAATCAATAGATGGCATTTTCATTCTATTTAAACTTAACCTATCACATAATAATTTATTTTCTTCATTATACCTATTTTCATTTTGTTCTTGTTTATTTCTTGGTGATATTACTTTAACACTTTCTTGTTTCTGAATATCTTTTGTATTTGTCGTTGTATTAATACTAACTTGTGGAGATGTACTCTGGATAGAATTACTTTCATTTTGTTTCATTTCTTCTGATATTTTTAATACTCGAGGGGTTATTACAGATGATTCAGGAGGAATACTTTCTCCATAATGTTCTGCTAATTCTTCAAGTTGGAACCCTTTCATAATTATAGCGTTTCTCTTCTTTCTTTGAGCCAATGTTTTTCTTGGTACTCTCATTGCTTTATGTTGTTCACTAATTTCATTTTGGTTTTCTTGGTTAGAGTTTGTAGATGAATTTAGAGTCGAGTCTTCTGGTTGAGAAGTATTATGTAAAGGAAAATGAGTTGTTTCATATTGGTATAATCTTTTTTTAGTAATATCCATAGCCTTTTCCATATTCTTAAGTTCTTCTTCTTGTTTTGCACTTTCTAAAGTAATTTGAGTTGGTTCTATAATGGGTTGGTGTTGTTTAAAATAAACAAATTGAGTAAGAATTTTAGTCTTGATATCATTAGCAATTCCTTGTAGTGAAATTAATTTTAAAAGAGTTTCTACATTATAAATGTTTAATTCATTCATTAAATGTTCATCTGAAGTACAACCCATTAAACTAGATAATAATAATATTTGCATACGTTCATTTAATTCATTAAAATTAGATAATAAATCAGAAAGAACTAATGTAAATCCAACTTCTCTGAACCTTGTCAATGCAGTTTTATTTTGAGCAAGCAAAGAAATTATTTCAAGTGCATCTTTTAAAGAGTCTATAGTATTAGGTTCTTCTGGTGGAAATTTAAGACAATCGATAAGAGATAAAATATTTGGAGATGCTGCAATTGCATTTACTACAATTTTACTCCTTGCCATAATTTCCAGTGTTTTTAAACATTCTCCAACAGTTTCACTATTTAATTCTGTTAATAATGAAGCAATAATATTTGCTTTAAGAAGAATTAAGTTGAAAGTATTACAAGTATGTTCTTCTTCATTTGTTAGTATTGTGTTAACAAGAGAACATCCTGAATTAGTACTATCATTTCCACCAGCAATAAGATCAACAATTCTTTCAGCACCATTTTCACGTAAAAATATTGATTTTGCATTTGGAATTCTTAAAATATGGATAAGACATTGATATACAGACATTTGAACCGGATCATAAGTTTGTAAATGTTTATTTAATGCAGGAATAAGAATAATAAATTGTGAAATATTAGAACAATTTATAGAGTGGTTTCTAGGAGTTCTTGGTAAAGCACTATCTAATTTCTCTGCAACAGAAATAAATCCATTAATGACATGAAGAGCAGCAATAATAGTTTCTTCATTTGAAATTAAAGGATTTAATCTATTTGCAAGTTCATTGTCATGTTGTATTACATGTTCTGAAATTTCATTTTCTTCACTTAATAAAATAAGAAAGTTAAGAGTTGCATTGACTATGTCAACCTCACTTGATAATAAACAATCGGTATATAAAGATGGTTTCACTTTCTTTAAAAAATTTTTAAATCCAACATTCTCCAATGCGTCTGACATAATTTCAAAACCTTGTTCTGCTTGTTCAGTACTTCCACGAAGATAACAATGTAATTTATTTAATAATTGAACTTCTTTAGGTTGAAGTTCTTCAAGGCAAAAGTTTTGTAATTCATTCATTGTTTAATATACCTTCTTTTAGAGTTTTGTTTCATTCAGATAAAACAATAAATTTCAAATAGTTTTTTTTTTAATTTTCATTATAACAAAAAAAAAACAAAAATTTATTTTTGTTGAGATTATAAAATGTTTGAAACTTTCAAAAAGAACTTTATTTCCTTATTAATAGTAAAGAGAACAATAATCAAATTTATCATAAAATTAATTGAATAAATACAAAAGACTCTTTAATTCATTAATAGAATATTGTTCAAGATTTAACTCTACATCCCATTGAGTTTGATTAATTTTTAAGGAATTAAATATTTGTTCAAGAGTATTTTGATTTGCTTGTTGTAATTCTTTTAAAATTAATTGAATAAGTTCTTGACGTTTTTCTTTTCTTTTTAATTCAATACCAGCAAAATAAAATGGATCAACTATTATTTCAACTGGTTCTTTTCTCATATTATCATGAGCCTTTAATAATTGTAAAAAAAACTCAAATTGTTGAACAGAATTTCTTTCTTTAATGTATTTTTGATAAAACACTGGATCCATTCTTAGTCTATTGTTTCGTTTAATTATTTCACTTAACACCAACATTAATTGGTCATCAGTCATTTTAATTAAAACTGAATTTGGTTGAAAGGGGTCTTCAGAGTATGGAGAAAAATATACAAATAACTTTAATTTGTTATCAAATGAAATATTCGGGTTTCTCAAAAAATTCCAAAATAATGGTGTCCATCGAAGATATAATTCAGACACTGTTTTACTTTCAAATATAATATTATAGTGTCCAGTAAGAATAATGTCAATGTCTGGAACTGTCGTAATAAATGCTTTTGCTATTGTGAGTATTCTTTGAAACTGACTTGGAAGTATAACTTGAGACATATAAAATTGTGTTTGAAGTTAGTTTTTATTTAAATTTTTTATTTTTTATTTTTTATTTATAAAATTAAAAAAAAACCTTTTTCTTTATTTTTACTTCTAAAAGTTAAATATTGGTTTTTGTCTTGTTAAAAAACATCTCTTAAATATTAATAAAGCCTTTATATAACTTAATATTTCATTCATTTTTTTTAACTTTTTCATTTTTTTTGAAGAATTAAATTGATTATTTTTTTATACATCATGAATGATTCAATTTTACAATAATAAAAATAGCAATTCTATTATTTTGTTGTTTTTTTTGTTTTGATATGAATTCTTCATTGATAGACATTAAGTTTTTTCCATAATTTTTGGTAAGTCATGATGCTTATATATTTATATTTTATGTTTTTTTTTGTTTAACTATTTTATTCTCTCTTATGATTGTCTTTTTTTAAATAATATCACTCAAGTTAAAAATAATCTTTGTTTTGTAAAGAAGTTATTCTAGTATGCTTTTTGTGTTATTCTTTGTCTCCAATAATTCATTAAAAAAGTTCACATAGTTAATTTAATTCATTTCAATATCATTACTATTAACACAAATTTATATTTATTGTTCTTTCTGAATAGTCAAAATACTTTTTATGGTAATCACTATTCTTTATCCTATAAGCAAAAACTCTTTCAAAGAAGATAAGTTCATTATAGTAATTCTTAGTTCTTCAAAAGAGAGTCTAAATAATAGTAATTATATTCAACAAAGAATAAACAAAGAAATAAAAAGAAGTGAAATGAATAACATGAAAAAATCTCAATAATTATGAAGAAGAAAAAAAAACAAAAATACTATAAGAACTTAAAAAGTTATGAAAAATGAAAGATTTATTTTTTATCTTTAGAATTAATATAAGAAGCACCAAATTCGTCATATTCGGCTTTCTTTATATAACGTTCTTCAAATGATGATAAACTAGCAAACAATTTTCCACCAATCCAAGCACCATATTTTCTTTTTCTATTACAATCAACACTGATTTGAATAGTAGGAGGGGATAAAATAGTAATTTCTTTAATAAAACGTTGTTTCATTCCAGGGAACATTGAACTTCCACCACAAAGAACAATGTTATTATACATTTCTTTTCTTAAATCACAATCACATTGCATAATAGAGTTATATGTTATTTCATGAATTCCACTTGTTTCTTTTCCAATAATATTTGGCTCGAATAATACTTCACTACATTTAAATCGTTCACTTCCAATAGAAATTATTTGACCATCTGGAAGTTCATACTTTTTATCTAATTCACTGGATAATGATGCCAATGTTGATTCTTCCTTATAGTCAAATGCAACATAACTTAATCGTTCTTTTATTCTTTCAACTTCAATTTTCTCACATTCTGTACTAAATATTATTCCACGTTCAATTAATAATTTTCTTAAATACTCATTAATTTCTTCTCCTGCACAATTTAGTCTGAGTGTAGCATGTTCCATCATATATCCATTATAAATAGGAACAACTTGACACATCCCATATCCACAATCAACAACAATTCCTGTTGTTCTTCCACTAAAATAAAGTTCTAATAAACTCTGCATCATAATATCTAATCCATTTACACCAAATCCTTCAAACATGATTTGTGCCATTTTTTCTTTATGAATTGGTGGTGTTAATGCAGCTTGAGTTAACATAACAACTTGGTCACTTGATTCTACTTGTAATTCTTCAAAAGTAAAATCCCAAATATCTTCTATATCATTCCAATCATTGATAATTCCTCGTTGAATTGGTCGTTGTAAATTCAAATCTTTTGAAAATTGAGCAAAGTCTCCTATATTTTCTAGTTTGTTAGTTTCCTTAGAATGTCCTACAACACAAGGAAATACAATTTTTGGTAATTCTTCACTTAAGCCACCTGCTTTTATTAGACCACTTCCATTATCAATAATTGTTGTTGGTGTATTCATAATAAGTGAAGATGAATTATGATTTAAAAGTGATTTTCTTATCTCAAGATAAAAACAATAAGTTATAGCTTACTAATAACTTACTAATAATTTAGAATAGTAAAACTGAAATGAAAAAAAAGAGAAAATCAAACTGAAAAAGAAGAAAGAGAAAGTATAACCATGCTTAATGTAAAACAACTTTATCAAACAATTGAGTCAATGATTTCAGTTAATATTGAACAAGTTACAATTTGTACACAACAAGGAAAAGTATTGACATATGCTGGAAGTGATGAAGTACATGCTGAAGTTATTGCTTCTATGTTTAGTCAACAATTTAATGATGAAATATCAGTAAAAGAAATTATACTTCATTATGAAGTTTGTTATGTAAATTAATAATGTTAATAAAATAAAGAGATATTAATTTATTAAATAGAATGGACCAATTTATGTTACTCCATTATCACCAACAGTTTTTCTTGTAATTATAGGTTCAAGAATTGCACATTTAGGATTAATAGTTCAAAAAGCAAAATTAGTGAAAGAAATTATTGGAAATTCATTAGAACAATTTGTTAAAGAAGGAGAAGAAAGTATTAATTAAAACTTGTTCATTTTTTTTTTTCTTTAAAATTTCATTTAAAAGAACTTATAATTTTAATTAGTTATTATTTAATGGAGAAATATAGTAAATGGAGAGATTTTAAGACAGGTATTCATCCATTCATGACACAAAATCAATTTTCTATACAAACAATCTTATTTGGTATTTTTGTTTTTCCTATTAAAGTTATAATGGTTATAGATACTTTATTATTTTTATATATTACAGAAATATTACCAATGAATTCAATAATCCAATTTATCCAAAATTGTTTATTGAGAATAATATTATTTGTTTGTGGAATTTATTCTATTCAAATTAAGTTTGTTCTTTTCTTTTTTATTCTTTTTTAAAATACCTAAAAAAAATCTTTATTAAATTAAATTAGAGATAAATCAACAAATAAACATGTAATTGTTAGTAATCATCAATCATTTCTTGATATTGTTATTTATCGTTACTTACTTAATGCAACATTTGTTTATCCAACTGAACAAAACAATGAGTCACAAGATGTTTATGAATTAAAATTATTCCAAGCTATGAAACGTAGTATTTTTAATACACCATTAACCTTATTCAAAAAAACAAAACTAGAACTGATTAAATCAAATTATATTATTTATTTTATTGAAGGAACAACAGAAAATGGAGCTATTATTTTAAAACCTCAATTATTACCAATTCAAAATATAAAACCATTAACATTGTCTGGGTTGAAATATATTTCTTCTTTTAATACTTTTTATAGTCAAGCAACACCATTCATTAAGTATATTTTTGGAATTCTTTCTCAAGTTTGTATTTCTATTATTATTTGAATTCAGTAAATATCATTATTCATTCTTATAGATTCATTGTAAAGTTAATTTAACTCTAGAAACTTGTACTGAAATAAATGAAGAAATAATTAGTCATTTCTTTAGAAATAACTTAAAAGTTACAATTTCTTCATTTAATTCATATGACAAATCAGAGTTTGTAAGACTTGCATCAAAGTAATTCTTATTAAATTTATTGATCTTTTTATTTGTTTAGTATTTACTTTTTTAATTTTATTATTATATCATATTTCATTGGTTGTATGGTAGTTCTTCTATTTTGTATTGGTATTATTTCTTTTTTTTGTTTTTATTTTATTTTTTGTTTCTTATTTATTGTTTGTTATTATTTTGTGGTTGAATGTTGATTATGTTTTAGTTTGTTTTCTTATTCTGTGATGTTGTGTTTATTTAAAAGAAGGAAAACAACTTAACCAAACAAATAAGGTAGTTTAATATTAGATTAATGCTGTGGAATAGAGGAGGGTGTATATCAAAGTATTTATTGTTGGTCAGTGCTTTAGGGTCATTTATGGTATTATCAATAGTTGTACTTGTTAAATGTGAAGGAGTTGGGAAAGATGAACTAATCTCTTATTCATTTTGTCATCCTTTTTATTCATTCATTTTCTCATTTCTACCTGTATTTACGTTCAATACTCCTGGATTTCCATATCCTTCCACCATATTTAAATAATTGACTTTTTCTTGTTTAATTAATGAAATGTTGATACTTTATTTTACTTCTTAGAGAAGTAAAATAAAGAAAACAGAAATAGAAGATAAAGAATAAATAAACATCATTTAACATTTTATTTATATTTTGGAATAGTTTTTTTGGTATTTATTTAATTTTCTACAAAAGAGGTATAACAAATAACTTCTTTATAACTAAATAATTCATTTATTAAGTACTTAAGAAAATTAAACTGCTCATAATAAAGTTATTTTTCACTTATTGTTAATAGTGGGTTGAAATTTGTTGGTGAATAATCTTGTTTAAATATTATATAGCATTAATGATGAGAGTTTTATCATTTGTCTATCAATGAAAAAAGAACTATGAAATAAATTTGTCATTAGGACAAACACAATTAGATGAACTAGTACTTATAGTATTGTAAGCATTAATACTATACCACTTTATGTTTATATTTGAAAAATCTCTATAGTTGATGAAAAAAAGACCACAAATGCTTCAACAAATCAACACCAAATGGTTTTGGTTATGTTTTCTTAGTTGACTTATAACAGGGATTTATTTATGTGATTGTACTGGTTTTATGAAGAGTGTTTATTTCTTTTTTTGTGTCATAGTTTTTAGGCATGTTTTTGTATAATTTCACGTAAGAAACAAAGACTGATTTAATAAATATTATGGAATTACATATAAATGTACGACATTAATTATCCTGTAAATCTCTTTAATGGAACATTGAATTAATAAACACACTGATAAGTGTGATAGAAACAATTTACTAAGATGAATTAAAACACTACTTTCAAAAATAACCCTTTTGCAAGAAATCTATTTCATGAAATAATACAGTGAATTAAATATTATAAATGAAAGAACAATTATTTGGTAGTAACACATTAAATGTATTGAAAGTTGTTTAAAGTTTGAATAAACATATTAATAAATATTGAAAGAGTAATTGAGAAGATGAAGTGTTATAATATTGAATTTATTAATTCATTAACAGATATACTTTACATAGATAAAATTAAATACTGAATTTATTAAATGAAATACATAAAT